TGTAATTACGAAGACAGCACCTTCTCCGCGGTTATTTTAAGACCCTGAGTGTTGGTCCGGCCGAGGCTTGAACCACGACCTCCCGCACAACAGACCGACGCTCTGACCAACTGAGCTATCCGGGCGGCCAAAACAATACATTTTCTATCCTAGTGGATTTGAACTCTATTTTTATGCAAAAACTGTGCAGAAAGTTTTTATTGTTGGTACACCAATATGGCTGGCTTGTGAAGTGAGTGAAAACACTCTATTAGTAATTGTGATGGGCAGTGGGTATCATTTTAGCTATTACAATCACATCCATTTGAAAAGATTAGTTGTAATTTTACCTTCAATTGTGGCTTCTTTGCAGATAGCGACTGTTATGACCCCGCAGCGTCTCAACAAGTTAATGCACAGAAACGACGACTTATTGCAGCTAGAGGCATAGACGAAAGTGAAAAAAATGATGTTTTTACGGTACAGTATTTAAGTATATTACTTTGTGTATTTACCACTTTTTATGTGTCCCAAAAACGAAGGTCCTATTCTTGGAGTGCAACCACGTGACCGAAAAATCCTTTGAGATATAGATAACAAAAAAAAAACAAAAAAAACAAAAAAACAAACAAAACAAAAAAAAAAACCGCAGCCATCTTGGTTGATCTAATAATAGAAGCTTAATGAGGAATGATTTTTTATCGTCAACCAATATGGCGGCTATGACGTAGCATGCTCTGCCTCCATATATGCCGTGTATAATGGGGTCGGACAACAAGAACGAAGCGGTAAAATATGGCAACAAAAGGATGGCCAACTTTTTCTCTCGTTATAGATATTTTACTTAACCTTAACACTTATTTTTTTGTTTCTGCAGGCCATCAAAGAATCAGAAACACAGATGGAAAATACCATAGTAAAAATATCCTCATCATTGAAGGAGGCTCAACAAACAGCGGCAAATAGATTATCCAAACAGCAGTTTTTTGCAGTGCTTACGGGTATTACAGGTTTTCTTTCCGCTAAAGGTCCATACGACGTCATTGACAAAGCTGTTGCAATTGCAAAGTACGATGGAAACAAAGCTTGTCTTACGTCTCTTGATTCCGTTATTGGAAGTGTCAATAAATGGCTGACTTTTGGGAAATACTTGATTCTGAACGATTCCAGTCAATTGGACTTTTACAAAGTGGACGTTAACTCAGTACCTGATATGATGAAGGTACCATACAATGCTTGTTGTTTTAATCCGCCTCTATCTTAGGTCCGCCATTTCGAATTTCCTTCTCGTTAGAAAACACAAAATTATATGCAAACCTAGCCTCCTTTGCAGCCGTTCTTAGGGTCGTCACGCAACGTTTCGTTGCGTGACGACCCTAAGAACGGCTGCAAAGGAGGCTAATGCAAACCATATTTCTGTTTTTTTCATTTTCATTTCAATAATACTATTTAAATACTTTTAAAATTTTTTTCACATTCTTACATATTCTTGTTCTATTTTGTTGGCATTAAGGCCAAACTAGAGATGAATAAAGAACAGTTGGCTGCTGACTTGGTATGCCTGTTGGAGGAGGCTACTAAACCTCGTGACGTTGCTCGTCTTAAAGCGGAAATTGAGTCCTTTTTCGTTTTGGGCGCAGCTCGCATCGACATGATAGCGAAAATTATGGACCTTGACAACACTATTGGGGGACACAATTTTGATATCCCACTTCTGGAAAAGACCGAGAAAGCAATTACTGAACTAGGCAAACCAACAGGTATGAAAGCTATTGTTTTAAGTGACTGCCTACTTTTGAACGTTCGAATTGAGCCCACGATGTGCGCGCGTTCAAAAACCGCTGAAAAATCTACAAGATTTTATTGAAGAACCATACGCGTTTTGAGCTTCAACAGGGCAAAACCCTCAAGTTTTGCACAAGACTCTCTATTTTGTAATAGCTTATTTGAATAAACTCCTAAAAATCTAGGTTATATCAACATTAAAAAAAAAGTTCAATATTCTAACACATGAAAAAAAATATTTTTGTAGGGAAATTTGTTCGACTTTATGAGATTTTTTAAAAGCATATGATTGCACGAATGAAGGCTAGTCAATCATTTTTCAACTACGTGGATATTTTCGACAAAAAGACAAAGAGATACATTGATTTGT